TGCATTTATGATCTATGGTTCATAGTTTCCACAGTTTTGTTTACGCCCCCGGTGGCTTGTCTTCGGTATTCAGGTTGGAATAACGTACACACACCTCTTCTACTATGACTCTGATTTACTTATTTTTCTTAGTCTTACATACTCAGTATATTATCCATACTGACTCCACTTTCTTTTGGGCATTGTGTTCATGCCCACTGATACAGATAGACCCAGTGACGCTCCTCCCCTATAGGTGCTTGTTTCAGCTATTGGTTCTTGCTCTCCACTCCCTCAGAGTAGATGTTCAGAAGTAAATAGGTATTAGAGCAGATTTTATAAACATTTGGGTTATAGTAGGGCCCTATCTCCACCGTGTTGTGTTAACACATGTTTCCTTTGGTACTCTTAGAGGCTTGCAGACTAATGTTAGCATTTGGTTGCATGTAATGATTGGGTATGACAATGTTGGTAATAGTAATGACCATGTATAAAATGCCAATATTTCTTTTGTTAATCAGTTATTCTCATTATTATTTTGGTATTACTACTTGGAGGCCTCAGTGGTGCAGATTTTGTGAATAAAATGATATAAGAGCATATGTCGGTTCGCATGGGCCTTAAGGCATCATGTGCCGGTCACACCTCCCAAGGTTGGGGTGTGACAAACTTGGTATCGGAGCAGTTCTAGTCAAGTCTTGTTTCTAGGTATGTCATGCACCATACTTATAAGCAGGAGGCTACAAGATATTTAGGAGGAGTACCCTTCTTCGTGATCTAGATCGTGCGATAGAGTTGAGTCATATGAATTCGCTTTTAATCCCTATCATGTTTATGATTCTAGCGATGCCTACCACGAGACGTCAGGCCCTTGTACAAGTATTGAATGAAGAAAACAGAGGAAGGTACCAGTAAGGTGCTACCTACCCCTATTGGAAAACATGGACCCCACGATGAGGTTGGAACTCATGTTTTGGGGACAACGCCACCACCCTCAGAACAACCTAGAGAAGTTAATGCACCCCTATCCCTCCCCCGATTGTTCTCGAACACGATTTATATATGAGAAGTGCAGTGCAACTATTAACTCAATTAGTGTCCTCCAAAGCCCAACGTCAGGCCCCTGCTGCCTCAGATAGAGAGCTCAACACGACAATTCGGGATTTCATAAATTTGGACCACTCGGTTTTTACAGGAACAGACCTTAACAAAGATCCCTAGAATTTTCTAGACCAAATGCAGCAGACCTTACGAGTTATGCATGCCACTGATACAGAGTCAGTGGAGCTTGCCTCGTATAGATTGTGTGATGTTGCTTTGACTTGGTATGAGACGTGGGAGCAATCTATGGGACTTCTTGCTCCACCTGTGTGATGGAATGAGTTTTCTGAAGGCTTTTTGTAGCAGTATTTGCCCATTGAGCTCCGTCGAGCTAAGCAAGATAGATTCTTACAGCTGGAACAGGATAATATGAGTGTTCCGGAGTACAACATGCAATTTAACTCCTTGGACAAGTATACTCCTTTGATTGTAGCAGAGATGAATGATAGAGTACATCGATTCGTGGGTGGACTGGGGCCACATTTGATTGATGAATGCACCACTGCTTCTCTGAGTTCGAACATGGGCATTGCTCATATACAAGCCTATGCGCAGAGCTTAAAGGATCGAAAAAGGCAACAACGAGCTGCTCGAGAGTATGATAGGGGCCAAGACAAGAGAGCCCGGTTTACAGGTGATATAAGAGAGTCACAAGGTGAGTTTAGACCCCCATTTTTCCGGCATCCATCTCATCCGACAGCAAGTGCAACGTCACAGTTCCAGGATGAGTTCCATGGTTGGATCACCTATTCTTTTCAGAGTGAGAATCCCCGAGGAAAAAGCTCACAATATAGTGGAGACCCAAGTAAGATGAGGTCGCCGGTGCCGCATTGTGGCTGATGCGGTAGGACTCATTTTGGGCATTGCACCCAGGGTTTAAATTTGTGCTATTCTTGTGGGCATCTCGGTCATGCCATGCGATTTTGCCCAACAAGGAATGTAAGTGGTATGATACCACCAACGGGATCACCGACATATTCTTCATCGACAGTAGATCCACGTGAGTAAGGAATGCAGCGATTGATAAGGAGAGGAAGAGGTGGAATGTCCACGTCCAACCCGGGTGGGCAATAACAGAATCACATTAGCATTGGCAGGTCGTCAGAATTTAGAGTCTTTACTAGATGTGGTCACAGATACAATTATGTCACAATTTCTATAGTGCACGCCTGTCACCTAATATGTGTGTCACCTCCCAACAATTCACATAATACATATATTCAGGGTTCATACCCTCAGCTCCAAGATTAGAAGAGTTACTTACCTCGAACAAGCCAAATCCAATGCCGAGCAAGCTAAACAATGCTCCAGAAATCCCATTTTGTGCTTATCAACTTCCGAACGGCTTGAATCTAGTCACAATTAATTTGATTCATCCCATAAAATTTATAGGAATTAATTCCATATCAAAATACTAATATTTCCCCCAAAATCCGAAATTACGCCCCAAAATTCGCCTGTGGGGCCCACATCTCGGAACCCGACAAAAGTTATAAAATATTAACGCCCATCCAACCACGAGTCCAACCATACAAATTTCACCAAATTCCGACATCAACTGGACCCTCAAATCTTCAATTGAAGTCTTTGAAGATTTCTACCATTTTCAACCCAATCTTTACCCATCTGAACTCAATACTCTTTTCATAAACCTTATTGATATGTATAAATAATACTCTTGCACCCAAGAATCATACTCTTAATCACCCATTATTACCCAAACTCGAAATTGAAGATTAGGGGTTAGAACCTTACCTCTTTGATGAAGAACTTGAGGGATTTCTTGTTGGATTTCAAGGCTTGGACAAGAATTTGATGAACAAGACCCTTCATCTACTTCCTCTCTCTAGAACACTCTCACTTCTCTATAAAATTATTAGATAGTTGCCCCAAAATAAGTCCCAAAGCCTATTTATCAAGATGGGATCGGGTTATAAAAATATAAAAATTACCCCTCCGAAAACAGGTATGCGATCGCACAATGCACCGCCAAATAGGTATGCGGGTTGCATAGTGGATCGCAAAATTGATGTCCAGAAATGGTGTGCGCTGGGCATATCGGCAACCATTGTGCGGGTTGCAAACCTGTTTTGTGGCTCGCATAATTGATTTGCGGTCGCACAATTTGCCGCATAATCGCATTTTTCCAGTGTTTGGTAATTTAGTCATAACTTCTTGTAGGAATGTCGAAATGACGAACAGTTTGAAGCATTAGAACTTAAACTCACATATCTTGAATTTGATAGGTAATAAATCATATAACACTTCGTATCATGAGAGTTATGCTTATTTGAAGTTAAGTCTTGTGCGAACTCACTTGACTTTAGTCTATTATGAAATTTCCAACTTCTACATTCTATGCCGAAACCTATCGAATCAAGTCCGATTAAACTCAAATTTTGTACACAAGTCATAAATGACATAACGAACCTATTATAATTTCCGGAATTGGATTCTGACCCCGATATAAAAAAGTCAACCCCCCAGTCAAACTTTCCAAAAAACTCAACTTTCGTCATTTCAAACCTAATTCCATTATGGACCTCCAACTTTCGTCTTCACGAAACTGAGCAGTAAAGAATCTTTCTGCCTCTTCAACCATTTGTTCATTGCCTTCAATCCAGTTTCCTTCTATGTTTTGAATCATCTTCAGCTGCAGTCTTCTTCTCCACCCATTCAGTTGAACATGAAAGAATCTTGTATTTAGATCACCCTCTCTAGACCATGTCATACCTAATATCTACCTCCAAAATTCTTCCTCAAGTGCTAAGAATCTGATAAGTTCTCCTTGTACTTTATGGAGCCTATCTCTATTAATCTGAGTTGGATAGAGTTCAAATTGATCTTCATACACTATCACTACCTCCTCTAAGCTAGCAATTTTCTGGAAGATATCACAATAAGTAGCCTTACTCCATATTGATAATGCCTTCTTTAACTTCTTCAATTTGTGATTGAATATGATAAAGGGATTAACACTAAAATCAAGCTGCTAATTTTCCTTCACTACCTCTTGAAACGTTGCATGATCTGTCCAAAAGTTCAGGATTTTGAACCGCTTCTTAACAAGAATAAATTGAGGATCACATTTGATTAACAAAGAGTTGGGGTCATATCCAATTTTAGACAATTGTGTGATCTCCACCCCTGGAAATAACTGTTGGAATTCTTCATTGGATAGCACTCTATCCAGCCTTTTAAAGATACAATCATCCTCAGATCTACCATTCCACCATGTAAAAATGCTTCCTTTGAAACCAAAATTATGTAAGTTTCACGTATTAATACAGTGTCTAAAATTATCGACTTCATTCAAAGCTACTTCTAGTCCCCCAAATTTCTCCTCCTCATACCAGATAATATTAAAATATCCACCAATAATCCATGGAGATCTCATGTTGCTAGCCAAATCATATAGTGTATCTCAAAATTCTATTTTCTCTATGGCATCACATTTGGCATACACTAATGTAAGTATGATCTCTTTTTGAGAGTTTAAATCAAACAGCTTAAGAGTGAGCTATTGCACCATGTCAACAAGAATAATAACCTCATAACCATCATCCACAAAGACCCATATTTTGTTAGAAATATTCACAATGGCTTGAGCAAAATCAATCCTTCTTTTATATCTTTCCAACTTCCTCGCTTGTTGCATTGGTTTCATCATCCCCACAAATCAAAATTGATATTGTCTATGCATTGAAATAAACCTTTCATAGGCTTTCTTGTTTTTTACAAATCTAATATTCCAAATGTTAGCATTCATATCTAAACATTGGATTTAGAGACTGTTCTTCTTATTTGTACTCCAGTGCCAGGGACACTAGTATTTTTTTTTTGTTGCCTCTTTTTGCCTTTACCAACTGACTTCACCTTCTCTGTTTTCCTGGGGGATAAATCACCTTACCTTGCCATATTCATGAAATTCTGGACAGTTGATGAACAGTTGATACCTCGTCCATGTCCTTTCCACCTCTTGCTTCATTCTCTTCTTCTATACTCCCTTGTTGCTGCTTTGTTAGATCGTTCTTCCAAGGTTTAGGGACTACTTCCTTAGTTCCTTTTTGATCCGTAGGATCTGGGATTGCATCTGTTACCTTATTTGCAGCTATGTTAGTGTCCTTAGGCATTAAATGAGGTCTAGGGTTTATTGTGGGTAGGGTTACATCTGGTTGTTTAGGGTTAGGGTTATGTACTTGAGTTTGTTCTGGTAAATTTGAGCTTTTAGGATTATCTGGAGATTTAGGACTTAGCTTAGCATCTCTCTTACCAGATGATTCCACTAATGCGCCATCCATATCAGCTACAGGTTGTTCATCTGTATGTACACTTACCTCAGCAGGATTATCTTCATCAACAAATTGCACCAAATCTTCTAAATCTTCCCCACATGATTGGATATCATCTTCTACATCTATTTGCTCATCTTCAGAATGAAATTCACCTTCTTCCTCAGATTCTTCTTCCACCTATTCACTCCATAATCGACCTAGTTGTAAATTGCCAACAAGTACAGTCTGTGAAGAAACCACTTGGTAGGACTGTTTAATTTTGGCTAGCTGAGGCAAATATGCTCCATTTTGATCCTTGTTAACATTATTAGAATTGTCTTTATTACTTTGAACTTCTTTCGTAGGTACTAAGGTCTTATTCACCCATTGAGTAGTTGATTCCTTTTGTATTCTTTCAGTAGATCCATTCACATTCTTCTTAGGACTTGCATTTTTTCCTTTTTCCAGCTTGTCATTCCCAGTTGGAGTGAGGGTGAAGACAACAGCCGCTGGATTCAATCCCCCAGTATCACTAGGTTTTGTTCTAGGGCTTCTTTGAGTAGCAGTTATCTCCACCAAAGACAACTGATTATTCCTTTCCTTCTCCCCTTCTTCTACCTCTAAAGCTGCAAATTTATTTGTTGTTTGAACCTTCTGGGCCCCATCATCAATTGGGACAATTTCTTTCCCAGTTTTATTTTGCAAATCATCCTGCTTTCCAGTGTTCTTGATACGATTGTCTCTCACCTCCTTCCACTGCTCGCCTACATTACCAACTACTCTTCTACTTGTAAGGATCATTAATGGATCCTGATTTTCCTTGTCATGAGCCATTAACTCTGGATGTAACCTCCAACAATCAATCTCATCATGCCCTGGTAACCTACACTCTTTGCAATATTTAGGTAGAAAATCATATTGAATTTCACCCATTCCGTTCTTATTTTCCCAGTAGATTCATTCTTTATATCCATCCGTACTTTCTTGGGCAAATCAGCTAGAAGATCAACAAGTACTTTAACCCTAGCACAACTAGGTCGTGTTTTATTTATAGTATCCATAACGAGATGAAGTGATTTTTCAACTGCTGAGGCTAGTGAAAACAGACACTCCTTCACAAAATATGTTTGTAATAAACTTGGAAAAGATATTCAAGCCATCGCCATTAGAGTTTCTTCCCCAATTTTTAACTTTGCATCATAAATTAACGGCGATATTCATATCCATCCTTAGCTTTAATCTTGGACATAACGTTAATGAAATATTCCCATAATGTTAATCGAATAAGCACATGCCTATCTCTAAAGAAACCCACATTACATTAACCTTTGATTCCATAATGAACCGGGATAATTCTACATAGCTCTTGTAATTCTAGCCATCCATAAGAGAACTTACCCACAACTGCATATTGTAATCCTTCAATGACGTTCATACGATCCACTTCTGTTTCTGTAAATTTCACAAGAGGTTCTCCATGCAAGAACGTAGGTCTTCTAATTGGTATTGGTTCAACAGTAGCCTGGGCAGTCGAGTTTACGTGCATGGGCAAGTTTAAAGAATTAGGTCTAAGGATTTTTGAGTAGTCTAAGATTGGATTTGTTGTTGGATTGGTTTTTGAGGGTTGTGGGTTAGTCGTGGGAGGCAGAGCAACCTCCAACGGAGGCTGGCCTCCGGCTATATTAGCCATTAGCAGACTGTTGCCGGAGTTTTTCCTAGTGTCGCCCTAATTCTTAGGAGAGAGAATAGAGCAGTCGGTCTAGTCTTTTAGGTAGTTATATTAAATTTCACATTTAAATGTTTTTATCTATATGATAATCTTCACCTTGAGCTATATTTGTATTTGGTTGATTCACTTAACGAGTTGAGTTAGATGTCATCACAACTTGGTGGAATTTGGGTCGTCAAATTTTTTACACTTATCCTATCTGTATAGTCTTCAACCTAAAATTGCGTCAAAACCTCGTTCTAGCCCTCCAATCATGTAAATCAAGTCAAACATCATCTGAGGAAGTCATACAATGCTTTAGAAAGCGACCCCAATTCATAAAGCTTCGATCTTTGAAGAATTTCCAAAAAGTCACTAACCCCTTAATCTTGTATGAAAATTTCCAAGAAAAATCGTCCATGTCCATGTTTGGGGTTCAAAATATAAGAGAATGAGCAAAAATCCCGAAATTTCACTTAAAATATACTGCCCAGTGAAACTTATCGCGATCGCGATAGGTCACTCACGATCGCGATAGCCAAACACGACCCCTAGCTTTAGCTCTTCTTTGTGAACGCGACGCTAGCAACACAAAAGCGAAGACCAACACTTCCAAGCCTACGCAAATACGAGAACCGCTCCATGAACGTGAAGGCAAAACCTTCTGCCTGACTCCACTTCTTTGCGAACGCAGTCCTCCATATGCAAACGCAAAGCATCTATCCACAACTATACGCGAAGTGGAATCCCTTGTCGCGAACACAAAGAACAAAAGCCCTTCAGCCTCAAATTACTTTCTGCGATCTCGATAATTGCTAGAGCGATCGCGATAAACCATTGCACCAATAAAATCTACATCTCCAAACTTTACCAAAATGATCTGAAACCACCTAGGATCACATCCGAGCCCCTCGGGACTCCATCCAAACATACTAACAAGTCTAAATACATTATCCAAACCTATCAAAAGTCTCTAAATACCACAAATAACAACAAAACAAATAATCAAAGATCAAATCATTCTCTTAACTTTTAAATATTCCAACTTCGTCGAATGCGTCCGAACTATACTTAGACATTTCGGATAACAACCAAAATTTTCACACAAGTTCCAATCAACCAAATGAACTTATACAAGGTCTCAAAAACAAAATAGGACTCCGATAACATCGAAGTCAACTCCCGGTCAAACCTATGAATTCTCCATTTCTTCAAATTGCCAACTTTCGACAAGTAGAACCAAAACCTTCTATGAATATCCAAATCCAAATCTGAACATATGCCTAACTACAAAATGACCATACGAACATATTGGAATCATCACATCACCAATATGAGTTCGTTTACTCAAAGTCCAAAACTTGGTCAACTCTTCCAACTTAAAGCTTCAAAATAGAAAATTACTCTATCAATTGTCCCGAACCTTAAGAACATCAAAACCAACCATACACGCAAGTCGTAATACATCATATGAAGATACTCAAAGTCTCAAACTGCATAATGGAATTCTAAAGCTCAAAACGACTGGCCGGTTGTTACTTACTCCCCCACTTAAATATACGTTTGTCCTCGAACATGCCATGAGTCATTCCAGAGTCATCAAATGTCTTCATAAGCTCATCTTACGCATCACCATGGGCTATCTCACGTTACCTCAATCCATATAAGCCCATCAACACAATCCTAATTGAATATTCTTCCTTTAACCTTAGCTTAAAATCCTTAGAACCAAATTCCAACTTCTAAAACTCCCTCTATATTCTGATTCTTGCATATATACACTCTATCAATCTCAACAAGTTGCATCAAGCCGTCAATATACTGCCAAGATCTAACTACACGATGCACCACATAAGTCAAGTACTCATAGCAATATATTCCGACCACAATTGCTGCTCATTGCCAATCCTAGTACCGATAATATACTACATATCAAATAAAATCTTGTTCCAAACATTTGCAACATTTCTAATGATGAAAGAAACATGTAGAAACTCATAACCACCCATGAAATCAACAAGTCGGGAAGTTCTCTTTCCCGAGAAGGACCATTGCAAAATTCTGAGCAGATTAATGACATTCTTCTTCCTAACATACCTTATTCCAATCTGATTGCACAAATTCCAGGTCAAATAACTTCATCTCACCCAGTGCAAGTTGTTTGAATGACATGCCACATCAAATGTCATCTAGAACCTTATATGATGTGATCAGTGCACCAAACAAGCCAAAGCTCAAATATATCCAAAGATGGAAAGAGAACCAAATAAGAGAACTATCCAAAAAGTTCAGCTGATATAACAACAAAAGCATAACGCTATGAACTCATCCTACAAATGAGAAAAAAAACACATGAGATAAGTGCAAGAAGTCTTATACCAACATAGTATCGTTGCGGCGTGCAACCCGATCCCATTTAATATAGTTACGGCATGCAACCCGATCTAACATAACATCATTGTGGCGCACAACCCGACCCAAACATATCAATCCACATGGGAATGCTCATTGAGCCATAATTCTCATACTTACCAAACACACGTGCATCAACATCAGGCACGCAAAGTGAATACACATAACCATGGGGAGACGGATAGCATAATGCGCTACCAAAAAGGCAAGCACAACTACAGTGCAATAAGTAAATCAACATTTTATGAGCCATCTCGCCCATATATCACCACAAGGCCTAAATAGGACCGTAACATGCGTGTGAATGATCAAGTAACCTCACAACCCATCATAGCATAAGAGAGAAACACCTGAAATAGATCAGGACATGAATAACATCCATTCTACCCGAAAAACACCCACAAAAAATGTTGCCCCTGAGTAAGTAAATCTAATTTGGTGTAAAATACACATTCACATTAGGCTAATCAATAGGCCCCCAAACCATTTTAAGCCATTACGAATTAGGTAAATAGCCTTCCATATCTCCACAATGACCTGATCCATAACACAGACTTCAACACACTTTTACAATTCATAGCCAAAAAAGTAGTCTGCCTTTGAGAACATCCAGTCTATAGATCAAGAATAAAGTAATCTCCATACCTGATCTCTAACTCCCCCATTTAAATGATTGATACATCACGCATATACAAGCCCATCATGCGAAATGCTTCCAATATCTTCCGCATCAAGTAGCAAAATCTGAACATCAATGGTTACCAACCACATGATTTTTGTATTACTAGTCAAGCATCCGCAAATCAATACACAATGTGTCTTCCACAACACACACCCTTCTCAAGAGATAGAAGATAGTGTTAACATTCTCTAAACATCTTAAACCTCTCATGTTGTCTAGAACTCATGACGTCCCTTTCGAAATTGAATCGTAACCTTGATCAGTCATATGTAAAGATACAATAACCCCGATATCAACTCTGAATCACAAGTAGAATAGTCCTCCTCATAATCGCTCCACCGACCTAAAACCTTATGTTTAACTTAGAGCCCGTTTGGATTGGCTTAAAAAAGTGTCTTTTCAACGAAAATAGCTTTTATGATGAAAAGCAATAAGTTAGGGTTGCCCAGCTTATTGATTTTGGCTTGTTTTAAATAGTTTTTAACTTATTTTAAGCACTTTTAAACTTTGTCAAACACTAAAAAAACTAAAAAGTGCTTAAAGGCTTATTTGACCAGCTTAAAAGCCAATCCAAACACCCTCTTAATTCAGGAGAGAATCACAACATGCAACAAACATCCCACACCCATAGAAGACATGAGCTTCAAGTCATGATCAAAACCGTCGTGAACTCTTCAAAACCCAAATGCACATAAAAAAACCATCATAACTGAATACCTCTAAATCAACCAAGTAACGTAGACTGCTAAACATAAAAGTACCTCAACCTTAAATGTATGCGCTAAAGAACCTTTTAGTGAATCTAAACATGTTTATTCCATCTCTCAAACACCACATCGCAGAACTGATAATGCTACAGAAATTCTCTAAGTCCCTTTCAAAATCCGACGCAAATCTCAAATCCTTAGCATCACAATGAATCCAAAAATCCTCAGACACCACACCTTGGATCTTGAACCCATTGAAATCATTCTCGAACGTCACCCACTCTTTCCTTGTTCTGAATATATAGTTAAGAATGTCGAATGAATAGTGCTCCACTAACACATGAAGACTCCAAAAAGACACAACCTCACTCCTGAGGAACCGAGAAATTCATTCCTCCTACACACTACATCCACAAAATAATGA